TTTAAATATTCAGCAATCAAAATATGGGAACAAATTCCTGATAGTCTTAAGTCCCAATCATTAAAGTCATTTAAAAAGAATTATAAAAACCATTTATTATCTTTACAATAACATATATTTCTTCTATAATAATATCTTTTTGTTTTCTTGCCATTAAAAAAAACGTAGTTGCCATTATGTCCTGTTATGTGTGTTTGTTTATGATATTTTGTAATTCCTCTTTTTTTTAAATATACTTAACTAATCCCTACACTTTTATTACCTAAAAAATATAATTTTCCTTATTTGTATTAAAATATGTATTTGTATATTATATCCTGAAATATATAACTGTATATAAAAAAAGTGTGAATAAACAAGTTGAATTTGAAGTTGGCGTGACGTTACATATCACGTGATTTACGAACCAAACATTTTACGGCGTTAAGGCGTTATGGCGAAGTGAAGTTGGTGTCAGGGTTTCGGATCTAGTGTCAGATTTTTTCCGGGGAGCGTCACATCATTTTGATCTACAAAGTGCTCTACATTCGTAGAGACGCATTGATTTACTATAAAATCCACGCCAAGCTTTACTCACACGATATTTCTTAAGATCATGTCGTTGTCTTCGGGGATCAAAACACTCACCTCAAAGAAAATAAACAACGGTTTCAGATTTTTTGAGCTGTTTTATCTACTATCAACGGGCTTCATCCCGTAGAAGTGACGCTTGGTGGGAGATGTCAAAATTCAAGAAAAATATAATGCCCAGAAAAGAGAATTTTGTAACCGTGCTATCCGTTATAACATAAACTCTCTTTCAAGCGGCGGACATCAAGTGATATTTCTTAATGCTTTTATATGTACTGCTTCATCAGCAGTTTGTTTGGACATCAAATTACGGCTCGGATTTTTCGACGTAAAGCATGGATATTTTTAGTTAAGAAAAAGTGCGTCAACATTTTGAAATAAAAGGGTTCAGTAACTCGATATATGGCAGCGGTACTCGAAGTATTTGTGGCATGAAGCCAGTTGATAGTAGACAAAACAGCTCAAAAAATCTTAAACCGCTGTTTATTTTCTTTAAGGTGAGTGTTTTGATCCATATCGTTTGAGTAAAGCTTGGTGTGAGTTTTAGTAAATCAATGCGTTYGTACGAATGTAGAGCACTTTATAGATCAAAATGATGTRACGCCCCCCGGAAAAAATCTGACACTAGATCCGAAAACCTGACTCAAAAATCTGACTCGAAAACCTGACACCAACTTCACTTTGGTGTTAGTAAAAGGATTCAAAGCTTAGCGAAAAGTATTTACGGCCAAAGTTACCAGCTCTGATTACCGTAAAATTTAACGATATRTCAATGTATATGCCTAATCAACTAAAAAAACTGAAAGCATTTAGTCTATCCTAACCCTGACGCGATTGAAGCTAGAATATTGTCGACTGAGTAGCTGTATAATACTAATAAATATCTGAATATTACGATCCTAGAAAGTCTTCTTTTACTTCTCAATTATATTACTTCTAAAGCCCGGAATTACATCCTCAGCTGCTAAGCCAATCTATGAGCCTAGAATATATGAACACGTCATTCAAATCCATATATGGGTACTATTGCGCAAGAATGCACTTTTCGCGAGAAGGAGAAGACAAAAAAAAAAAACATTTTACGACTGGGCTGTCACAGGCAACCCAGTAAAAACCAAAGGCATTTTTCGACTGGGTTGCCACAGGCAACCCAATTAAAAACAAAAAGACGCGAAGTGTTCACTGGGTTGCATGTATCACGTACAGAGGCCTCGTTGCAAAGTTAGTCAAAAGAATGGAATGGTTAACAGAAAAGAATGATTACTATTCGTTGAACTTGTCTAAGACCATCTTTTCCCTTGAGGTGTACTCTACATGATATTAAAATATTTGCAGGTTTTGCCCTTTTTTAGGCCACAAAAATAGACAGTAAATATAGACATATGATGATCCAAGTGTAGTCAATGTTCTTGTCAGTAAATTTTGCCAGTAAAGATAGGAAAGCATAGGTCTACTTTTCGCGGATCGATATTGCTTATATGACTGATAACGTCTGAT